ATTTTTTAATAAATGTTTTTAGATGTTGAAATTGTAACTGTAAAATAAAAAAATATAATAATATTTAACACTAAAGGATCAATTGTGCTTAAATGTTGATCAACCTTATTGATTGGTGATTGGTAATCAATACCAATTAATGAACAATGCTAAATTTCCTAGATATAAAGGTGAAATTGATTTTATACAGAGTTTCTTTAAAAAGCAACAGTTATAAAGAACAATGCAACAACAAAAAATAGGTTAATTAACTAAAAATATATACACCAGCAGTGATCTCCCTATTCTGGATTACTGAAGGCAATAATAAAATAAATAGAAAATGCATATCAACAGTAAAAGGTGAGACAAAAGAGTGGTCAGTTACACACAACATTTTCGAGGTAGAACCATATTTACCATAAGTGACATGCCTTCTTTTTTTAACCCTAATAAAAAAATGAAGGAAAGTTAAAGAACAAGTAAAATATAAGCAACACTGCTTAGGTAGATGTATTTTTTTTTTAAGTAGTTATGTACTGTATACAAAAATATTGAAAATAAAGGAAATATCAGGACATGCTTTACACTGTACATGCCACATTAATATTGCAGATAAATGCCCCCGGGGCACTGTAAACAATGTCTCTAGGTGTGGATGAACATACGAAGACAAACAAAAAAAACTCTGCAAAACAGAAAAGGTAATGGAACTCACAGGAGCAGGTGCAAATAATTATGAAGATAACTGGCACACTTCTCTTGTGGGGGTGCACACTTATGAGCACATTCCCTTAACTGATCTGCTAAAGCATACATTCATGTTTAATGTGCATGTTCCTGTCCCCATTTACAGCATGCGCTGGACATCAAAATAATACTCTTTGTGCCTTGTATGGCCATAAGGTGCATTAAGTAAAATCAAAGTAAAGTCAAATAAAAAGGGTTTCCCCCAGCAACTCCCTAAGGGTTACAATTTCCTGTCCTTATTCCTTAGACCTTAAATGTACAGGCTGCTGCTCCAGAAGTCTCCTACCTGGCTATGCCACAGATAACTCTCCATTCATTTATATAGAAAGGATCCTCAACGATGGGTGCCTTTCCACAGGGGAGGGGGAGTGCCTGAAGGGTAACTGTACTAAAATTACATTAAAAACAAAAATAATTTGTCAAGCACCAATGAAAAACACATGCACCAAACTAAAGTTAGCCATACACGCCTCAATTCCCCATTCACCCTAAACAGCAAAGATAAGGAATCTCTACTGCTCTACTCTACTGCTATTGTATTCAGACATCTATGCACCTGCGGTTTAATTGCTTCAGTAGTCTGTAGACTCTTGCTTAACGGTATTGTTGTGATCCACCTCTACTTAGATTTAGGCTTCCTAAGGTAAAAAATGTACCAGCATTCTGTTGCATCTAATATTTTATCATGAACTTAATTAAAATTAAATCATAAGCTTCTTAAATAGAAATATTTTGTTCCATTAGCCTGTACAGGCTCCTTATCATGGAGGTCTGTCTTCAGCTGTCTTCAATTGATTGTGAAATGCTTGCACAGACAGAACATTCCATTGTTTTCACAGTTCTCACATGGCAAAAACCAAAATTTGATCTTTTCCCACTGACCATAATGGATACTTCAAGGGTTTGTAAAAGCATAAGGGAACAAGATAGGTATTTAATAAAGTTGGTTATTTCAGTTCCCTGCTTTGCAATATCAAATTCAAATGTATTAGAAAGTTGCAAGTCGGTTAACTTCTACTTTAACACATATATCAATGAGTTACTTTTACATGTTTTTTTATATTATTTAATTATGAGCATTGCAAAAAGTCAAATGTACACAACATTCAAATGATTTATTTTTGTAATTCATTACTAACCTCAGCTTACAAATATTTATTATTAAACACAACAATCCATAGACCACTTAGCTACACCCTCATATCATTTAAAAAAAAATATTTTGCGATTAGCTGCAAAAATAAACTTTTAATGTTAATACTTATTTATTTCCTTATATCGTCTCTTAAGACCGGAAACAAAGGTTTTGTGAATGAGATCAGTGCTCCAGATGCATAACAAATAACTTCAATATTTGCCGATACCTTCTTTGGCTTTGTAGTTGCCCTGACAGTTTTGAGTAGCTGGTGGGAATATCTCACCACTGGAATTCCAGAAAGATATAAGAGGCTGGCATCATTTATTTCCCAGCAACCATCCAGTAATAGACAAACAGTTTGGGAGAGAAGTGGCCTTTATTGCTTCATGATCAGAGTTATTATTTCTGTGTGATCTGAGCAAAGCTTGTTGGTCCACCTGCTAATGCTGTTAAACTGTGTAATGTAGGTAAATAAAATGTATGCTATATCATGGGGTTAGATTTGGCTTTCTATTGGTAATAAGAAATCCCAGCTCCAGTCGAATTTTGTTTTGTAGTTCTCGATTGAATAGAGAAAGGTTATGACCTTTGTCCACTTTTTTGCTGTTTGAGAGACTTTTTATTTTCTGTTTTATTTTCAGTTGTCTGACAGAAATAAAAGATGTGCATTAGGATAATAAAGCATTTTTTTTCCAGTTTAGTTGGTGTAGGGAAGGACTAAAACCTCAGACTTGTATTTATTTCTGTCTTTGTAACCATTTCTGATATTTTCCATCATTTCATGTTCATTTGAGGTGTCAGACAGAGCAGGAAGAGAGGGAAAACACATACAAAATGTACAAAATGTATAACCCTTCCCCGCTGTATCCTTAGGTTAAAGAGGCTTGTTAGATTTTTAAGAAAAACTTTAACATCTTAATTAGAAAAATGCTTAATTACAAAAATCTAGTTTTTGATAGAGCGGGGATGAGTTAGAACTCCTATCTGGTTTTACTGCTATTCAGGTCTCTCTTTGTTCTTACTTCTTGTCTTGCTAGGGTTGCAACCTGGCCAGTATTTTACCAGTCTGGCTCGTAAAAATTGGACTTGTTGCCAATGTTATTAATAGGAAAAAGACTATAAGGCTGAGATAAGGTGCAACCTTATATCCTGTTGACAATGGTTTTACTAGACAGGAAGTGAGGGAAAGTCTGCAACAGGAAAACAGAAAAAAATAAAAATGTGGCAAAGCTTTCCACTACTACTAAAAAAGGAAATAATGTATATTTCTGTCTGTGTTGCTGTTGCAGAATTCACATCACTCCCTTTTTTGTAAAATATTGCCATATGGACAGGATCCGAGGGTTATTAACTCTTAGTCCACATTCTCACCTAGGCGTTTTGTTGCTCAAAGCTAAGTGCAAGAAGACACTCAGGACAAGCAATCCCATTCCCTTGTCTTGAGCATGACAAAATGCTCAAGGCAAGGAATACCATTAATTTCTATGGCCCCTGTTCACTCATGGGTATTTTGTCACAAGCAGAAAAACGCCTGTTATGCTGGAAAACGTACATGAGCTACTTATTGGAAGATTACAGTGCTTTTTGGTCCCATAGACATCAATGGGAAACCTTTTGAGACAAAACGCGTGACAAAACACTCAAGTGTGAACAGGTGATTTCTTGCTTTGAACGTTTTGTCACGCTCAAGACAAGCGAATGGGATTCCTTGCCTTGACCATTCTTTTGTGCTTAGCTTCGAGCGACGAAACACCTAGGTGGAAACGGAGCCTAAGGAGCCCTGCAGTACAACAGCAGTAGCAGTACAAACTTGACAGGGAGTATACCACTTGTCCACTCTATCCAGAACTAAGAAGAAAAAACTCTGGCTTTCAATACACTTTAATCTGTAGATCTACTGTCTGTGGTCAATAATGGGCCACGCAAGTAATGGCTTTATAAATGCTCTTCATTATCCTTCTGCTCACTAAAAATGTCCATTTTGCAGGTATTTTGGGCACTTCAGCTGGTGACAGTACTAGTTCCAGGAGCGGTTTTCCATCTCTACGCAGCCTGTAAGAGTATTGACCAAGAAGACATTCTCCAGAAGCCCGTTTATACAGTCTTCTACATTATCTCAGTACTGTTGCGAATTACATTAGAAGTGGTGGCCTTTTGGCTACAATCTCATCTTTTTGGCTTCCAAGTGAATCCAATCTTTAAATGTGATGCAGGAAGCCTAGATAAAAAATACAATGTCACCAGATGCATGGTTCCTGAACACTTTGAGAAAACAATCTTCCTCATTGCTATGTATACTTTTACTGTGATTACGATAGTACTATGTGTAGCTGAAATCTTTGAGATTCTATGCAGGCGTTTAGGATTTTTAAACACTCAGTGACCTATTGCCTTACCAACATCTTTATTTCTGGTGTGAAATGTTCACTAAAACAACAAAGAACTATTTCTAAAATACATCTGCAATTTTATGCAGGTTATGCAGCTGTTAAATGTGAGGGGACTAATGTGAAATATGTTACAGCATTACAGACGGATATTTATGTATTGATTGACCAACTTACTGTATTTAATTGTACCCGTGTAAATAACCCAGTGCTATCACTTTATAATGGATATATTTGTGGTTGAAAAGTTGATGGGAAAATACTATATAATGATTACAAGTAATGTTTTAGGAGGATGATAAAGTACTTAATTCCCATAGTAGATGGAATAACAAAAGATTGTTGCTGTGATGAAATAACAATTCTGTTTTTTGTCTATCATGAAAAAAGGTAAGTGTTCTTTGGGCAGTAAAGCAAAATTAAAATTGCTTTCATTTTAACAATATGCTAAACCATGATGGTAGACAAAAATAATTTAGTTATTTTGTATTTCTTTCTATTTTAATGGTTTTTAATTTCAGTTCCAACTGTTCAGTCACACAATACTACAAACCATATTTCATATTGAAATTTTCGGTCTCAGCCATGAATGACGCACTCTTTATACAGTATACAGGATCAGAGCCTGATTTGTGAATTCATACTGTAACTTATCTATATACAACATATCCATAGATATGGACTATGTTATAGAAAATGCAGCTTTTGCAGTGCATTATTATTACTACAATAAGGGAAAAAAAAGTTTTTGTGATAATGAGTGATTTAAGTTACTATATAAGCAGTCTGTTACACTATTTGTTATAACAAATACTGATATATCATATTTGATTGTTGACATATTGTGTTATGGCATACATTTGCCATAAAGAATATTGTAACTGTATTGTAATACAGTTTATACACCTAGATCTAGCTGTAATTTATGTGGCAGTGAATTGTGTAAATTAGAAGGACAGATGCTGATGCAGTGTCAATATTAGGAAAGCAATTAAAGTGAAACATCAGGTAAACAGAAAATACTATATTAAAATAAATATATGTGAACTGTTATACATGGCAAAGGGATCGTATTTCTATCCAGCCAGTCTTGAGATTTATGCAGGTCTACCACACTACATAGTTAAAGTGTATGTATATCCAAATCTTTTTCGTTTTGGATAGAGAAGCGTTAAAACTACTATCTGGTTATTTCTGTTGTCTGTGTGCTGAGGGAGATTTGTCATTACTTGCCGTGGGGAAGTAAGAAGAAATCTCACAAAAAGGAGGGGAAGTCCCATCTTGGACATTTGTCACCAGAACATGGTTCCTCTTAGAATAATTCCCCACCTCTTCCTGCTGTTCTGACAAATCTAAAACTTAGGATTTTCCCTAATTTATGTCTCAGTGACAATGATAGCCAGGGCAAATTCCCAATGGGCACACAGACATCAGTAAAAACTTGAGAGGGGTCGTAACTATTTCCTAGTCTATTCAAAACAACAAAAAAAGCTGTTTTGCTTTTAAATATAATTCCACTATTTCCTGGCTAAGCTTGCCGCTCTCTGTATCATCTCCTTGCTCATTGACCAATGATCGATCCTCCAGATTCATTATCCGACAGAGGCAGAGATGTATTGCTGCAAAGCTGCACCAAATATATATCAATGGCCAGGCTATGTAGTGTAGACAAGGTGCGAGAAATGAAGCTAAAGCTCGCGGTATACTGTGACGCCGCAGCCGGGACGGATCTCGACATTACTGTCGAGATCCACCCAGCTTCGGGATTGACAGCTGGCTCTGCCTATCTAGAGGCAGAGCCAGCTGTGACCGCCCCCTCCCCCGTCCGTTCTGCCAGTCAGCGCTGGAGGATCGAACAGTTGAGGTGAGGGGAATCCCTGCGGGGAGCAGTTAGTGACAGTCACGGCTCTCTGAAGGGATAGATCGAGAAGTGAGCGAGCGACGCTATGTGTTCGCTCACTTCCCGATCTATTGAGTCAACCTGTGACAGTTTCATTGTCAAAGGTCGGCTAGAACTATGAGGCTGAGTGATTTTCACTCGCCTCATAGTTCTCCTTTAAAATACCAAAGTTATACTCACCTGAACCTCGTAGCCAGCTGGCTGTTGGACGGGTCTCTCTAGCCTATCTTCTCCTCCGCACTAGGAATGTTATGTCCCTCGGCATCCTCACGTCCAATACACAGTGTATAGGATGTGATGACTCACAGGACTTTAGACCACCAGAACAGAGAGAGGCTGGAGAAAACAGTATAACAGCCAGCTGGCCCCCGAGTTTCATGTGAGTATAACTTTATTTTTGCCCCTAGACAAAAAGGAGCAGGTAGCCCCACTGCAAGGGTTAAGAATAATTATTTATTAATATTTTCCAGTACAACCATTAAGGTCTAAAATAAGAATCATGTGTAATGTCAGTATTTTGGTACATACAGCTGAGAAAGGGTTAGAAGCTTACTGCACGCATTGTATAATAGTGAAAAACTATCAGGTCACTTAGGCCCCATTCACACTGAGCGATTTATCGCGTGGTAATCCGCGCGATATCGCGGATATTTACCGCACGATATCGCTCTCCAATGCATGGCAATGGGGCTCTGTTCGTCGCTGTCGCGGGTCGTGCGTCGCTACAACAGGACCCTTTTTGGAGCGAAATTCGGCGCGATTCTACTTTGCTCAATGCAAACATTTGCGCGATATCGCGCAAAATGCAAATCGCGCGACAAAAGCTTGATTTGTGATACGCTCAGTGTGAATGGGGCCTTACCATTCAAACTAAAAAAAAAGCGATATATTGCAGCTTACCAGTCCTCAGATGTTGTTTATTTTCAACTTGTGATCCTGTCAGGAAGACACTTCCTGTCCTAGGGTGACAGTGAAGCGTTTGGAGAAGGCAGGAGAAGTAAATAATCTAGGACAACATAGCTGATTTGGAAATAATTCTCCAATTCAGCTGACTTTCCGGTTCAGCTATGTTGTCCTAGATCGTTCACTTCTCCTGCCTTCTCCAAACTCTTCACCCTTTAGTGAATTACCCTGTCAATGTTTTATTTAACAACCAAGAGGGAGAAAATAAGAAAAACTAATTGTTTCCATAAACTATAAAGCAAACCTTTCCTGATAAAAACATAGGAGCTGTAATTACTGGCCTCCTTCTAAAGAAGCTAACTGCCAGGTTATTATGCTGACAACACTTTCGGAGTTATTGACTGGAATCAGTTATGCAGACTTGGAAAGTCAGAGGAAGTCCTTACCTGCGGGTCCATGACTTATAATGCTGAAGGTTGTGGGTCAGCTTGACAGCATGATAACTGTCAGCAATGGAAGCCTCTTTTCTCATGAAAGGTTTCCTTTCATATAAGTATCAGTAGTCATAAGTGGGCCATTTAGGAGCTGAGCTTATTTGTAACGAAAGTGTTTTTTTTTGTCACTTAACAAAACCAGCTTGGCTTTTAGACGAAAAATAAAGGTCAAAATATCTCTTTAAAGAGAATAATGGGGAGAGTGAAATACACTCATCCCTATAATTAGAGCCCACGTGTGACACTGCAGCTGTCACACATCGGCTCTACAGATCGAGAACTGAGCGATCACATACCACTGATTTATGTTCCCGGTTTTCTCCCTGCAGAGTGTGTTGACTATCAGTCACCGCTCCCCGCAGGGATTCTCCCTCCCCTCTCCATTCCTCCAGCACTCATTGGAGGTACAGACATGGGAGAGGGCAAGCACAGCTGGTTCTGCTTCTAGAGCTGTCAATCAGGTGGCAGTGGTGGATCCCTACAATATTGTCAGGATCTTTCTCGGCCACAGCGCGCTTGTCAGCATATAGCGGGCAATAGCCTGTGTTGGAAGCTAAAATAATTGACATCTATGATACATCTTTGATGGAAAGGTTCCTCAATTCCTATCCCCAATTCCCCTTTCAAATTCCCTTAATTGTAATATGTATGTATATCCCTATTTGTAAATAAACCCAACACTTATTTAAGATTCAGTTGTTCATCAGTAATTTAAGGGCAACCCCAAATCAGAGCACATTCTACAGCCTGCTATGTATTGAGTTTTGGGTCATAGGAGGACATAGTAAATGTCCTCCGTTTACCCTAAAGAGAACTATGGCCCAAAATGTTTGGGCTATAGTTATCTTTTAATCAGTGAGAAGTCTACCTATCTTCAGCCCAAGAAGCATTGTTAACCATATGACCACTTACTGCAGTCTAAGCTTACATTTTTTTCCTCACAATAAGCCACTTACAGCAAATCTTCTATCAATATTCCTATTAAAAAGAACTGTGATTCAACAATCTTGATCAGAAGTGTTATGGGCCCATTTACAGTATATACTGTAGATGCCTACTCATTTTTAATGGCTGTTTAATAAGTGCTAATGGGTTGGAAAATTTACCTGCCCCTTTTTTTTCTCCAGCACAAGACAATGTGCTGGAGAACACCTCCAGCACAAGGTGTGAATGGGTCAAGAATGAAAACCACATCTTGCTCACAAGTACACTGCAAGACTATTCTACCTTGCCAGATCTTTTTCTGCTATGTAAATATTTGTATTTTTCTAGACCTGCATCCAGATATATTAAAAACACAATGTTATATGGTTATGTATTAGGGATGCACCGATACGAAAGTACCGTACTCAGAAGTACAAGTACAGATACTTTTCGAGCTCCAAGACTAGACTAGAGAAAAATTCAAAAGTTAGGAGGCAGCTGTCATTTGTAAGGAACATACTGAGCTCTTGGGATTTGTACATCTCTGTTTTAATGTATGATTTTGTTTTTATAAATATAAATAGAGATGCAACAATACCATTTTTGCAAGTACTTACAAGTACGAGTACTGATACATTTTTGTTTATTGTCATGTGACAGTTTTTCTAAAACAATACAGACTAATGATTTCAGGACAGTGGTGGAGTGCCAGAGCCAGGTCCCAGCTGCAACCGCTGCAACCCTGGTAGATCTCATGAAAATGCCAAATATTGGC